AGACCATAACACGGACGGCTCTGGGATTCGCTGTCGTTCGGTTGTATTCAGGAGGGTACTTGTATTCACGTTATTCCGTCATGCCTCAGCCTAGCGATGCAGAACTAGCGAAATACGTCAGAAGTTCGTTGCCTAAAAATATTGACAAATTCTTCAGATATACTTGAGGGGGCTGATCTCAATCAAATAACTTCGCGTAAAGTTAGGCACTCCGCAGAAGAACACTTCGGGGTCGACCTAAGTGCATATAAGGAGAAGGTGGAAGGAATAATCATGAGCACGATGGCAAAGATAGTAGAGCAGTCACAAAAAAGCAACCACGAGTCTGAAAAATCCTCTGTAAGTTCCTTTACTTGTGGTCATGTTTCCTTAGGACGAATCTTCGGATTCGGAGAACACATCCGATGAAGAACCACACCATCCACCTAGAAAAAAGAAGAAAGACTCTGATGCTGATTACGCCAGGACATTGCACGCCGAAACCAACGGAATGCGAAAGCGGTCTACCACAGGTGCTCGAAAAATCCTTGTGTTCATCTTATCAATCATGACAGGTAGTAAATCAAAAGCTCCGCGAAAGTCCTCCGGTGATGGACAAAATGTATTCACTCGTCCTGTTACGTTATCTAAAGAGTTGGCTGAGTATTTGGGTGAGGAACAGTTGTCAAGGTCTGAAATGGTGAAGCGCCTCTGGGCTATTGCTCGCGAAGAACAACTATTTGTATGTCTTGCTTTATAGATATAATTTTTTTCAGGATCCTGAGAATAAGCAATTTGTCATATGCAACGAAGATTGGCAGCGGCTGTTTGGAGCGAAGCGTTTCCGAATGTTCGGAATTGCGAAACATCTAAAACGACATATAATTGATTAATATTCTTTGTATATGTAAATTTCACGTTCAGATATCAAAAAGTTATTGCATTTCCTTGTTAATTTTGGAGCGTAGCTAAACATTGCGGGAAAATGGGTTTTATTGTGCTTAACTTACCTGTGGCACAGTCAATTGTAGTTCAACGGACAAATACCCTTTCTACCGCTTATAAGAACTTTGTTCATGCTCTATAAACAATTCGGTATAATGGAGTACATAGTCACTTCTAGTCTGAATGAGCCTTACTGACACTTGGGAAATCAAGCCAGTCCATAAAATAATCCAAAAAAGATTCACTGAAAGTATAATAACCAGGCTTATCACTGATCAAATAACCCACCGAACAACGTAAAATGAAAAACATCAGATGCTTGGCATGTGTAAACGGCAGGTTTGGGATTTTGGACGTGAATATTTAAACACTGACCGCTTAATTCGAGGTCATTCTTTGCATGTCGAATTGTCAGTAGAATTGCTATTGGCGGTGTCGCTGAACTACTTCCAAAGTGCTTCAGAAAACGTTGCAAGCCCTTTATTGTTTGCTTAAACAATCTAATCTCCATCGGTTCACTATCATAGCCACCAGCTTGAAACTCGATGGGCGGTTGCACACTATAAAATGAGCAGAACTCGTGGAGAATTACCATGCTTATTTCTGCGTTTTTGGCCGTTGTGTTACTCTGTTGTCCATACCCGGGTAGAAAATTAGGTACATCTTGCCTACCCTGCAAAACAATCTCTTTCGCAAGATGGTGCAACGATATTTCAAACCTTCCGATTTAAGGTCGGTTCTCCGTTTCGTAGATCATATGCCCTTCGGACTTGGTTTCCTCGTTCAGGATACTCTTCATAGCCGGTTGCGTAATCGAACCGGTGACAACGTATCCAACGGTTGGGGAGATTAAACTATGCCTACAAGAATCAGGCTTTCGAACCTAGTGCTTCAAATCGTTTTGGCCCAGAAAATCATTTGTGACTAGTTCAGTGGGAACTGCTGCCGCGCGTCAGTAATTATAAGTTCTTCATTCAGGGCTACAAACGTAGGTAATTAGTAAATGCCAGAGTCGGTTTACTGGAGCTGTTATGCAATAGATATACAGAGAGAAACTACCTCAATGTAAAACGCAACAGTCACTAAGTTCCCTAATTACGCAGTGGCTCTGATCGTCAATTTTCCTTAACCCGATGTAG